TCGTAATATGCAATGCAGGTTGATGAAATCGTGTTGAACGCTTAGGGAATGTGTAGGTGTCTATCACACTAAACAGGCAGATGTGTCATTCTGGCATTCCTCTCTCATTTTTATGTTAGAGAAATGAATCCAGATTTTCACTTACCCGGAGTGCCACTGATTGTCATTGATTAGTAGCATTCGTGAGTGTGACTAAAATATCTGCAGCTGTAAGTGTTTAACTCTCCCAGTACTCCCAGAAGGCTTAAGGCTCACCTATCCCACCTTATACCTGTAATATTAAATGTAAACACACCAACCCAATCTCTCTAATGCTTAAACAAACAAACCCACATATACGTGTACACCTATCCCACTCCTCAGCTACCTGTCTGGGACATAGTCATCGATACACTCCCCTATCACGGTCATCGATACACTCCCTGATCACTGTCATCGATACACTCCCTAATCACTGTCATCGATACACTCCCCGATCACGGTCATCGATACACTCCCCGATCACGGTCATCGTTACACTCCCCGATCACGGTCATCGATACACTCCCCGATCAAGGTCATCGATACACTCCCCGATCACGGTCATCGATACACTCCCCGATCACGGTCATCGATACACTCCCCGATCACGGTCATCGATACACTCCCCGATCAAGGTCATCGATATACTCCCCGATCACGGTCATCGATACACTCCCCGATCACGGTCATCGATACACTCCCCGATCACGGTCATCGATACACTCCCCGATCACGGTCATCGATACACTCCCCGATCATGGTCATCGATACACTCCCCGATCATGGTCATCGATACACTCCCCGATCACGGTCATCGATACACTCCCCGATCACGGTCATCGATACACTCCCCGATCACGGTCATCGATACACTCCCCGATCACGGTCATCGATACACTCCCCGATCATGGTCATCGATACACTCCCCGATCATGGTCATCGATACACTCCCCGATCACGGACATCGATACACTCTCTGATCAAGGTCATCGATACACTCCCCGATCACGGTCATCGATACACTCCCCGATCATAGTCATCGATACACTCCCCGATCACGGTTACCGATATACTGTCTCATGCTAGTGATTTCATCAAATTAGCAACGAGATTCGCAGTACGGCGAGAACCGTGTTTCTTTCATGTGTGAGGTCATCTGTGTGGATGGCCTGACCCACGAGGTCATCTGTGTGGTTGACCTGTCCCATGAGGTCAGTTGTGTGGATGACGTGTCCCATGTGGTCAGTTATGTGGATGTCCCATGAGGTCAGCTCAGTGGATGACCCGTGAGGTCATCTGTGTGGATGACCTATGAGGTCAGCTGTGTTGATGACCTGTCCCAGAAATTCCAGACAATGCCAACCTAGACCAAACAACGCCCCGTATCCCATCATTCCATTCTTCAGTAGTGTGACGTGTCGCCATTTCCGTTTGGATGAGTTGACATCAAACAGCATCCCGGCGACATGAAAAACACGCGTTCGGCCGTAGACAACCTGCCACCCCCCCCCCCCCCCCCCCCATCACCACCCCCACCCTCTCCCCGTCACACTTGATCTTCTCCCGTGCGATAAATTACCTCCCTTATTTCCCATTAAAACGTGTCTACCGTTAAGTGATGGCTAAAATATCGCTGCGAAATTTACTCGGCCGTTTCATTGAAGGAAATAGATCTCCCACGCACGGGCTTTATTCCCCACCCTCACAGACCCCCCCCCCAACACACACACAATGATCTGAATTTTACTCTTCAATCGTCCTGTTTTAAAAAAAGAGATTGGAGCTAGGAGCCTCCTCTCAAGGTAACCTAAGTGTCGCTCCGGCCTTTGAAGTCGCCGGTGTGAGATCAGAGGGACTCCTCCCATACCTTACCCCTGGGGGTGAGGGGGAGGAGGGGGGGGGGGTTTAAACTCGGCCATTCCTGACGACCGAAAAATTGCCTGGTCGCACCGGCTGATAAATGAGAGCTGTAGAGAGCCGGGTCACTTGATTGTGGGGGAGGGGGAAATCCGGTTAAAGTGTGATAGCTGGACCATGGTGGTGTTTTTATGCTCCATGTTAGTGTAACTGTCTCTTGTCTAATTCAATCTCCACAACACTAAATTCATTTAAATAATTGTTATGTAACCTTTGTAAAAGAGAAAAAAACTAAGAAGGGTTTTTAACACAAGGTACGGTATTGAAAGTACTAAGTAGAATTCAGTTTTTTTGTTTTACTTTTCAACGTCAGCGTATCCAGGTATTGTGAGGAAAAATATGGCCACCAATGACCACCTATGCGTTGTGCAGGCATGTCATAAAGTACATGAGTGTGTGTGAGCTGTCCCACACCTCCACACACATGATTGTCCCACATCTCACGGATTGAGTCCCCCCACATCTCCGCCCACACAAACTACACGACAGACACGGTTTGAGTCAGCAGGCAACAAGATGCCAGACAGCTGCCGTCAGTGTTTCTTCCAGACTTTTTTCTCCATGGGGGGGGGGGGGGGCGGACTAAAGTTTACGGGGGGGGGGGGGGACGCTGTTAAAAGTATATACTTTCTATATAAATTCCATTTCGTTCGGTGAGATGCCTGAAAGAAACACTTAATAATTTGCGCCTCGATCGTGTACGTCCGGAGACTCAGAATCCGGGAGGAATCCGAACTGGAATAGTTCTGGTTAGCACGGGAGTGGCACCTCATGATTAAAGACCTACAAATTACTGGTTTAAATGTAGAGAATCTGACATCGTGTTTCTACTCTGGGATAATCAACGTTTAAATTGGTGTCGGAAATTATTAAGAAAATTAAAACAACAATTTATATTTTTTTAAATCTTTGTTGAAAATGAGCGGCGGAATTCATGTTAGTGTTATTTAATTGCTTGACTGGGATAGAAGTGTATGTGAGGCTAATTTACTTTTAGAGAGTGAGGATCGTTCTTATCAGATTATCTGCCAGATAGAAGAGTATTAGTATCAGATTATCTGCCAGAGACAGTGGCGTAGGCAGGGGGGGACGGGTTAGGGGGGGGGGGGTGACAACCCCCCATAGACCCCTCGGTATATATATATATATATATATATATATATATATATATATATATATATATATATATATATATATATATATATATATATATATATATATATATATATATATATATAAGTATGAGGGAGGTGCAAATCGAAAGTTTGAGGGGGGGGGTGCAAATCGAAAGTTTGTCCCCGGGTAAAAATTGGAACCCCCCCCCCCCCCTCCTTGAAACGATCCTGGACTATGCCACTGGCCAGAGAGATGAGTAATGTTACCTGATCGAGTGGTCACACAATCGGAAAATGCTGGACATTTTAAATGCCGGAATGTTACAAAAACCGTGCCGTTAGATTATCGCCCTGTCAACAAAACGTGACGCCGTTTCCTGTCGGTTTTTATAAGAATATTTTCTTGCAATTTAGTTTGACCGTCGCCTGAGAGGGGGGGGGGGGCGACAAAAAGAAAAGTTTGTTTCAAGTTGAAGCCGTCGTCCTTAGCGTCTAAACACAAACTTCCTTGTTCCATTGTCACCCTGAGGCCAAGTACATTACCGTGTGAAGGCGGCTTCAAAAGTTTCGTTTGATGCGTGTGGCGGTGTTTGCCCGGGATTGTGGATGTGTTTAGGGGATGATTTCGAGGGGTTTGGGGTTGGTTTTTGTTGTTTTTTGTTAAAGAAGAGTTATCTTTTGCAGTTGGGGGAAGCTTAGAGATACTAGAAGTCGAATCAGAAGTTGCCGTCTGTAGTTTTTTTCTTTCGTAGTTCGTCAAGTATTAGGATGAGACTTGTCTAATCGTACCCCGCTAGTTTCCCCATAGCACGTATATTCACAGTAGTCACTATAGCGGCGTCTAGTCCTGGGAGAAGGGGGGGGATATTAATTGTTGTTCTTTGCAGTGTCTAAACGTAGTATCGAAGAGGATCTGAACTACTAATACTTTTAAAAACACCCAAGATCTGTTAATAGAGCGAAATACAAGTTTATTCTGAACGACCAGATATGAAGCGCCCATGCCATCGTCGATTGTGTCCCCTTGTTTTACTGAACATAGATTGAACTGTACTCAAAGTAGTTCAACTATTTCTAAACTTCGTTGCTGCCTTTCATACTTCACTGCTGCTGATGATGTATGCCTATACAGGCCTACACCGTTATATCACAGCCAACCCTCTCTATCGACGGTTATATCATTTAACCCTCTCTTTTGAAAGTTTATCAGTAACCCTCTCAATCGACGGTTAACCCAACATTTCCACAGTTAAATCATAGTTATCATCCCACTCGCACTAACAACACCCTGCTATTATTTAATTCACATCCAACAAATATCACATTAAAAAACCCCAAAAAAACTCACTTTTCACAGATAACAATTAATTAGCTCGCCCGGTCCAGATTGAGACAATCACGTGATCAGTCACATCGAAATAATCGATCACTTGATCAGTCACATTGAAATAATCGATCACTTGATCAGTCACATTGAAATAATCGATCACTTGATCAGTCACATTGAAATAATCGATCAGTTGATCAGTCACATTGAAATAATCGATCACTTGATCAGTCACATTGAAATAATCGGTCACTTGATCAGTCACATTGAAATAATCGATAACTTGATCAGTCACATTGAAATAATCGATCACTTGATCAGTCACGTTGAAATACTCGATCACTTGATCAGTCACATTGAAATAATCGATCAGTTGATCAGTCACATTGAAATAATCGATCACTTGATCAGTCACAATGAAATAATCGATCACTTGATCAGTCACATTGAAATAATCGATCACTTGATCAGTCACATTGAAATAATCGATCACTTGCTCAGTCACATTGAAATAATAGATCAGTTGATCAGTAACGTTGAAATAATCGATCACTTGATCAGTCACATTGAAATAATCGATCACTTGATCAGTCACATTAATCGAATAAACCTTTTTTTAGGTACTTCATCAGACGTGCGCGAGGAAGCCAAAAGTGGATCGTGTTTTTAGAAGGTAATTTACAGTTCTATTTTTAGAAGGTAATTTACAGTTCTATTTTTAGAAGGTAATTTGCAGGTCTATTTTTAGAAGGTAATTTGCAGGTCTATTTTTAGAAGGTAATTTGCAGGTCTATTTTTAGAAGGTAATTTGCAGGTCTCTTTTAGAAGGTAATTTACAGGTCTGTTTTTAGAAGGTAATTTACAGGTCTATTTTTAGAAGATAATTTGCAGGTCTATTTTTAGAAGGTAATTTGCAGGTCTATTTTTAGAAGATAATTTGCAGGTCTATTTTTAGAAGGTAACTTGCAGGTCTATTTTTAGAAGGTAATTTGCAGGTCTATTTTTAGAAGGAAATTTGCAGGTCTATTTTTAGAAGGTAATTTTCAGGTCTATTTATAGAAGGTAATTTACAGTTCCATTTTTAGAAGGTAATTTACAGTTCTATTTTCAGAAGGTAATTTTCAGTTCTATTTTTAGAAGGTATTTTGCAGGTCGATTTTTAGAGGATAAAATTAATGGTCTATTTTTAGATGGTAATTTACAGTTCTATTTTTAAAAGGTAATTTACAGTTCCATTTTTAGAAGGTAATTTACAGTTCTATTTTCAGAAGGTAATTTTCAGTTCTATTTTTAGAAGGTAATTCAACGTTGTTTTCACAAGTTAATTCAAATTTATTTTTGAAAGGAAATGCAAAACTGCGTATTTAGAAGGTAATTCTAAGTTTTGTTTTATAAGGTAATTCAATGCTGTTTTTTTAGAAGGTAATGAAAAGGTAATTGAAAGTTGTGTTTTAGAAAGTAATGAAAAACTATATTTTAAGGTTGTGAAAAGGTAATTCAAAGTTGTGTTTTCTTTTCCCCGTCAACAAAGAAGAGCTCGACAAAGGGATATAATTTTGTTTGATCAGTTTCACAATTTTGTTTGATCAGTTTCACTTTAAAGAAACCCTTTTTTTCTAAATTTTTAAAATCCTATTTCAACAGACAGCTTTCATTTTGTAGTTTCCTTTGGTCTTGTACCCCTGCATCAAACACAGAGTATCGTCTGCTACATGTACAGTTGGTCGTCTGCTACATGTACAGTTGGTCGTCTGCTACATGTGCAGTTGGTCGTCTGCTACATGTGCAGCTGATGCAATGTGCGATGACTTTTTAATCTTTTACTGAAAGCTCACCATATTTTTAAATTGACCTTTTAGTGATAAAAAAAAAATCATTGTACGGCAATGAAAAATATGTTGCAGTGTATTGTCCTTAAATTATTTGTTATCGTCTGTTGTCAGTGTCATTAAATTTGTTATCGTCTGTTGTCAAATTGTCATTAAATTTGTTATCATCCGTTGTCAAAGTGTCATTAAATTATTTGTTACGTCTGCTGTCAAAGTGTCATTAAATTTGTTATCTTCCCTTGTCAAAGTGTCATTAAATTTTTATCGTATGTTGTCAAAGTTTCATTAAATTTGTTACGTCTGCTGTCAAAGTGTCACTACATTTGTTATCGTCTGCTGTCAAAGTGTCATTAAATGTGTGATCGTCTGCTCGCCAGGTGGCTGGTACTGCTTTGACCACGTCAGCTGCTCAGAGAGGAGTCGCGTGATGCCAGAGTACATGAGCTCCAGGTACTGGACCAAGTTCCGCTCAGGTAGGGGTCATCGGGGGTCATCGGGGGTCATCGGGGGCGGGGGTCATCGGGGGTCGGGGGGTCGTCGGGGGTCATCGGGGGTCATCGGGGGTCGGGGTCATCGGGGGTCGTGTACAGCCGGGGGTCTTCTTACGGCGCGGGGGGGGGGGGGGGGCGGGTCGTGTTTTACTAATGCCAAACTGGGGGTCATGTTTTTCTGGGAGGGGGGGGGGGTATATATTGCTGGGGGATTATGTTTTGCTCGGGGTCAATTTTTTTTGGGGGGGGGGGAGGGGGGGGGGGGGTTAAGTCTTACTGTAGGTCTTGTTTTACAGGAATGATCATGTCTGCTAGAGCCAGGTCTAGTGTGTGTGTGTGTGGGGGGGGGGGGGGTAGCTGACAACGAACAAACATTAATGTCGCCAACGATTACACACTCCTAATTGGAACATTTATGAACCCCCACTTAACCGGGTAGCACATCCTATTCATTCCTTATTTGGGTTTAGGCCCACTTATCATGAAATGAAATGTGAATCTTTTTCAACTCTTTATTTTGCGTGTTTTAAATACTCTATTTTGTATCACAGGTAGTGGAATACTTTCATGGGACCCGGAAGAAAATCCGTACTACTTCCATTCAAATGTTGTGTAAGTTTTCTCGCGACAGTACATGCATGGTTTCTTATTTAAACAGCCGGAATATTAAATTAAAACACCATCACTAGTACACCATAACGTCCCGCAAATCAGTACTCAAAAATCAAATATAGGTAACTCAGTAAAATATTTTTATTTTTGTTTTCCACAGTTACGTCCCTTACTGTTCAAGTGATTCTTGGAGCGGCACTAGAAATAAAACATCAGGTTAGTTTTCATTTTTGTTTTTACTTTTTCAATGTGAGTCGACACTGGTATGAAAATATAAAGTATAGAGCACCATTGGTTATAAAGGCCAGTAAAGTAGAATTAATCAGTGGCTTAGGCACATTATTTTGTATGACGTGTTACTTTATTTTTGCATCAGCTGTCGTTCTGTATTTTGAAAAAATATTTAAATATTTATTATTAAGGCCTATAAACCTTGATCTACCTAATTAATCATTTGACTGATTCAGTGATTGTGATAGGTCTACTAAACTAAAATCTATTTCATAGTTTATAATAGATAGCAGGGGCGTAGCGAGGGGGGGGGCAGGGGGTGCGGAACGCACCGGGTGACACCATTTAGGGGGGTGACACCAAGGGAAAAAATAGCAAAATATATATAGAAAAACTTGAAGGGGGTGCAAATCGATAGTTTGAGGGGGGGGGGGTGCAAATCGAAAACTTGAAAGTTTGTGTCACTACGCCTCTGGGGGGTGACACCATTAAGTGCCGCACCGGGTGACACCTGACCTCGCTACGCCACTGATAGATAGTTACCCATCTGAGTTGAGTGGACTCATGGATGCTGTGTGTATAATCGTAGACTTACCCAGATCAACTCTGAACTTCTGTATGGAGATTGTTTAAAGTTTAATACAGAACAGTTAAAAGTTAAAAGACTGAAATATTCGACAACTAATCGGCCAAGTCTAATTATTAACAATTAAAATTATTGCTGATTTTCTATTCAGAAGTCACATTTTAGGAGCAATTTTGCAATGAATGATGTAAAAATACATTTTACAAAGTGTCACCTGTGTTATAGAAAAAAACTTCTGATGTCTGAACTCATTTTAACAACAGAATGCCATTACAACATTAGATATCTCAGGTTAATCTAGTTTCAGGTTGAAATAATTAGGATGACTTTTTAAATAGAATCTTATATTTAGACAAGATTTAATGAGTGAAGTGTTCACTTTTTGTTATTATGAATCTTATTTTTGGCCAAGATTTAATGATTGAAGTGTTAACTTTTTGTTTTCAGCCATGGACTTTTCTTTCATGGGTTCCCTGATACTGGATGAAGTGTTTGATGAACTGTTGAAGAAAGGCATGAAGCAAGCCAAGACAGTCATCTTAGCTGGCACCAGGTATTGCTGCTTTTATTTTAAGACAGTCATCTTAGCCGGCACCAGGTATTGCTGCTTTTGTTTTAAGACAATCATCTTAGATGGCACCAGGTATTGCTGCTTTTATTTTAAGACAGGCATCTTAGCCGGCACCAGGTATTGCTGCTTTTACTTTAAAAACAGAAATTTTTAGCCCCGCTGTAGCTATAATTTTAGATAAAATATAATTTAACCATAGGTTTTGTTGAACACAGTTATTTTAGCTTGAATGTTGTACAACAACTTTTTACTCCTAACTGTAGCCAACCCTGTTTGCAGTTGGTTTAAAAATAAATTTGTCCTTTAAAATTGACAGAGGCTATTTATTTAAATAAAATTTTTCCTAAGCCTCAAGTTGTTCCCATATGCAATATTATGAGAGAAATGAACTCTTAAAATGTTTGTATTGGACCTTCCAATGACAGTTGTATTGTAGGAATAATAGGGCAACCAGCTACCACTCTTAGCCCACTAGATTTACATGTCCTAAAATTAGTTTACCTGATTTACTAAAGTCTTGTCATTAGTCACTAGTTTGTACATTAATTCTATTGGTATAGCTTGAAAATGTTATCATCTGATAATTTGTCTACTGATATAACTTTAAACAAATAATTTGTCTATTGATATAACTTTAAATAAATAATTTGTCTATTGATATAACTTTAAATAAATAATTTGTCTATTGATATAAAATAAATAATTAGTCTATTGATATAAAATAAATAATTAGTCTATTGATATAACTCTAAACAAATAATTTGTCTATTGATATAACTTTAAATAAATAATTTGTCTATTGATATAACTTTAAATAAATAATTTGTCTATTGATATAACTTTAAACAAATAAATTGTCTATTGATATAACTTTAAACAAATAATTTGTCTATTGATATAATTTTAAACAAATAATTTGTCTATTTATACAACTTTAAACAAATAATTTGTCTATTGATATAACTTTGAATAAATAATTTGTCTATTGATATAACTTTAAACAAATAATTTGTCTACTGGTGTAACTTTAAACAAATAATTTGTCTATTGATACAACTTTAAACAAATAATTTGTCTATTGATATAATTTTAAACAAATAATTTGTCTATTTATACAACTTTAAACAAATAATTTGTCTATTGATATAACTTTGAATAAATAATTTGTCTATTGATATAACTTTAAACAAATAATTTGTCTACTGGTGTAACTTTAAACAAATAATTGTCTATTGATACAACTTTAAACAAATAATTTGTCTATTGATATAACTTTAAACAAATAATTTGTCTACTGGTGTAACTATAAACAAATAATTGTCTATTGATACAACTTTAAACAAATAATTGTCTATTGATACAACTTTAAACAAATAATTTGTCTATTGATATAACTTTAAACAAATAATTTGTCTACTGGTGTAACTTTAAACAAATAATTGTCTATTGATACAACTTTAAACAAATAATTTGTCTATTGATATAGCTTTAAACAAATAATTTGTCTACTGGTGTAACTTTAAACAAATAATTGTCTATTGATACAACTTTAAACAAATAATTTGTCTATTGATATAACTTTAAACAAATAATTTGTCTACTGGTGTAACTTTAAACAAATAATTGTCTATTGATACAACTTTAAACAAATAATTTGTCTATTGATATAGCTTTAAACAAATAATTTGTCAACTGGTGTAACTTTAAATAAATAATGTGTCTATTGATACAACTTTAAACAAATAATTTGTCTATTGATATAACTTTAAACAAATAATTTGTCTACTGGTGTAACTATAAACAAATAATTGTCTATTGATACAACTTTAAACAAATAATTGTCTATTGATACAACTTTAAACAAATAATTTGTCTATTGATATAACTTTAAACAAATAATTTGTCTACTGGTGTAACTTTAAACAAATAATTGTCTATTGATACAACTTTAAACAAATAATTTGTCTATTGATATAGCTTTAAACAAATAATTTGTCTACTGGTGTAACTTTAAACAAATAATTGTCTATTGATACAACTTTAAACAAATAATTTGTCTATTGATATAACTTTAAACAAATAATTTGTCTACTGGTGTAACTTTAAACAAATAATTGTCTATTGATACAACTTTAAACAAATAATTTGTCTATTGATATAGCTTTAAACAAATAATTTGTCTACTGGTGTAACTTTAAATAAATAATGTGTCTATTGATACAACTTTAAACAAATAATTTGTCTATTGATGTAACTTTGAATAAATAATTTGTCTATTGATATAACTTTAAACAAATAATTTGTCTACTGGTGTAACTTTAAACAAATAATTGTCTATTGATACAACTTTAAACAAATAATTTGTCTATTGATATAGCTTTAAACAAATAATTTGTCTACTGGTGTAACTTTAAATAAATAATGTGTCTATTGATACAACTTTAAACAAATAATTTGTCTATTGATATAACTTTAAACAAATAATTTGTCTACTGGTGTAACTTTAAATAAATAATGTGTCTATTGATACAACTTTAAACAAATAATTTGTCTATTGATATAACTTTAAACAAATAATTTGTCTACTGGTGTAACTTTAAATAAATAATGTGTCTATTGATACAACTTTAAACAAATAATTTGTCTATTGATGTAACTTTGAATAAATAATTTGTCTACTGGTGTAACTTTAAACAAATAATTTGTCTACTGGTGTAACTTTAAATAAATAATTTGTCTATTGATACAACTTTAAACAAATAATTTGTCTATTGATACAACTTTAAACAAATAATTTGTCTATTGATACAACTTTAAACAAATAATTTGTCTATTGATATAACTTTAAACAAATAATTTGTCTACTGGTGTAACTTTAAATAAATAATTTGTCTATTGATACAACTTTAAACAAATAATTGTCTATTGATACAACTTTAAAAAAATAATTTGTCTATTGATATAACTTTAAACAAATAATTTGTCTACTGGTATAACTTTAAACAAATAATTTGTCTACTGGTGTAACTTTAAATAAATAATTTGTCTATTGATACAACTTTAAACAAATAATTGTCTATTGATACAACTTTAAAAAAATAATTTGTCTATTGATACAACTTTAAACAAATAATTTGTCTACTGGTGTAACTTTAAATAAATAATTTGTCTATTGATACAACTTTAAACAAATAATTTGTCTATTGATGTAACTTTAAACAAATAATTTGTCTACTGGTGTAACTTTAAAAAAATAATTTGTCTATTGATACAACTTTAAACAAATAATTTGTCTATTGATACAACTTTAAAAAAATAATTTGTCTATTTATACAGCGCTGGAGGTACAGGGGTGCTCATCAACATCGACAGAATCGCTGACCTCATCCACTCAAAGGAACCCAGCATTGAGGTCAAAGGTCTGGTGGATGCCGGATGGTTTCTGGATAACGAGCCATTTAAAGTGAAGACCTGCAGAGATGCTTTTACATGTTCTCCAGTTGCAGGCATACAGAGGGGCTATCAGTAAGTGGGATTTTCTAGACTTTTATACAGAGGGGCTATCAGTGAGTGGTATTTTCTAAACTTAGAGGGGCTATCAGTGAGTGGGATTTTCTAGACTTTTATACAGAGGGGCTATCAGTGAGTGGGATTTTCTAGACTTTATAGAGCGGGGCTATCATTGAGTGGGATTTTCTAGACTTTTATAGAGAGGGGCTATCAGTAAGTGGGATTTTCTAAACTTAGATGGGCTATCAGTGAGTGGGATTTTCTAGACTTTTATACAGAGGGGCTATCAGTGAGTGGGATTTTCTAAACTTAGAGGGGCTATCAGTGAGTGGGATTTTCTAAACTTTCATAGAGAGGGGCTATCAGTGAGTGAGATTTTCGAAACTTAGATGGGCTATCAGTGAGTGGGATTTTCTAGACTTTTATACAGAGGGGCTATCAGTGAGTGGGATTTTCTAAACTTAGAGGGGCTATCAGTGAGTGGGATTTTCTAAACTTTCATAGAGAGGGGCTATCAGTGAGTGAGATTTTCGAAACTTAGATGGGCTATCAGTAAGTGGGATTTTCTTAACTTTCATACAGAGTGAGGTACTTCCATGGTTATTTTTATGGGAACATTTCTCTGAAAATTTCATTGTTACTTTGTGAGTGCTCACATAAGTCCTTACATTGGTATTTTTTATATGTACTCTAATACGTAATTTAACAGTCACTTTTAACAGTAGTCTTTACTGTAGTATCTTTGGCACAATTTAATTCCACGCAGGTTAGGAAAATATTCCAATTAAATATGTATACTTGTGGCTTAAGACAACAGATCATCTTGCTTAAATTTTAGTATTAAATAATTGTACACCTTTCATTAAAACTTAGGTTTTATCATTCAAGTAAGTTTTTGTTATTCATGTAAGTTTTTATCATTCAAGTTAAGTTTTATGTAAAAAAAAATTTTCATCTAGAGTGTGGTCTCCAAAGCTGCCAGAAGCATGTACTGCCCAGCACCCCACGGAGGTGTGGAGATGTTTCTTTGGTCACAGAGTTTTCCCAACCATTAAATGTAAGTTACCTCCCTTTGGTCACAGAGTTTTCCCAACCATTAAATCTAAGTTACCTCCCTTTGGTCACAGAGTTTTTTCCAACCATTAAATGTAAGTTACCTCCCTTCATGCTCTCATATTTTCTTACCTTAGATTTGTTTACATTTAGGTAAAGTTTATTTGAATGTTAAAATGTTGGATTGAGATCAACAAACTCTGTATCTAATCAAAATACAAAACCTGTGTCTACAGCTCCAGTGTATGTCATACAAAATCTGTACGATGCTGCCCAGATCAAAGTGAGCAGTGTGTTTGAGGAGCGCCCCAAGACTGAGCTCTCAGCTGACCAGTGGCGCTACCTGCTCAGCCTGGGGGAAGAGGTCAAGCAGTCCTTACAGAATGTCACGTGAGTTGTTCCAGCCCAGGCCAAAACATGGTGTCCAGTTTTTCTAACAACTCAATGTCTGGCCACATCATTCTAAGTCCTATTTTATTTAAACACCCCACAATGTGAAACACCACACATCAACACCACACAATGTGAAACACCACACATCAACACCACACAATGTGAAATACCCACACCAACATCCCACAATGTAAAATACCCACACCAACACCACACAATGTGAAACACCACACATCAACACCACACAATGTAAAATACCCACACCAACACCACACAATGTGAAATACCCACACCAACACCCCACAATGTGAAATATCCACACCAACACCACACAATGTAAAATACCCACACCAACACCACACAATGTGAAATACCCACACCAATACCAAACAACCTATCTGGCATTAGAAAAATCATTTAGATCCCTTAGGTCCTCAGAATCAACAATATTTTCACTTGAGTTAAGCTTTCTTTAAAAAAAAAAGATTTCCCAAAAGAAAAAATTACAACCAAATGTTTTTTTTAACTTACAGAGCTGTTTTTGCCCCGGCCTGTGTGTCCCATGAGATTTTGATCCAACCGTAAGTCATTTTATCTGGCACATTCATATTTATACATTTGTTAGTAAAAACATTAGGCTTAACGGCTTTACCTAATGTAGTTACAACAATATGTGTGTAACTTTTAACCTCTTTTCCCAGAGAGTGGCACACAGTGAGAATACAAGGGACGTCACTCCCAGAGTCTATCTACTGCTGGGAAACAAGTGGGACTAAGATGCCATCTTGTCAAAACTCTAGGTACAATTCTTCTAATTATTTAAAAAAAAATGTTTAATATAGTTTCATTTCAATCTAAGCCAGCAAAGAAATTTAATAACAAATTTCAGCATTGAATCAGTTTTGTTTTGTCCAATATCAGCATTGAATCAGGTTTGATTTTGTCCAATTTCAGCATTGAATTAGTTTTGATTTTGTCCAATTTCAGCATTGAATTAGTTTTGATTTTGTCCAATTTCAGCTTTGAATTAGTTTTGCTTTTGTCCAATTTCAGCTTTGAATTATTTTTGTTTTGTCCAATTTCAACCTTGAATCAGTTTTGTTTTTGTCCATTTCAGCATTAAATCTGTTTTGTTTTTGTCCATTTCAGCATTGAATCTGTTTTGTTGAAGAATGATACACCATTGGCTGATGCCCCACCAAAGGGAACTAACAAAAGAAAAAAGAAGAAAAAAGGCAAGAAGAATAAAAAAAACAACAGAAATAGAAAACTTGGTAAGAAAAATTTTTAAATTCCAACGCAGTCAAATGAGATGCTGTGGTTGAGGGATAGGGCACGCAATTGCTAACCTAAAAAAAAAAGGTTACTATTTTGCATCCAATTGTTGATTTATTTTTTTATACATTTTACTTAAAGAAAATAGTCAGCAAAACAAATTATTTCTTTAATATAATGCTAGCTAACAAACCTTAAAATAATGAAACAAATTATTCTTACATTTTAATATATACTGAACATAATTTAAAATAAGGAAACAAATTATTTTTTAAAAATTTAGTAGTAGTTTACAGAATTTAAAATAATTTGAATTTTAAACTTACTATTTAATTAGTTAATATAATTTAATTTAATTAGGCCTAAACTAAATTTTTTTAAATTTAATATTAGTTAACAGTTTTAAATAATAAGGCATTAAACTGTTTCTTAAATTAAGTAGCAGTTAATAAAATTTGAAATAAACACATTTTTTTAAAAATTTGCTTTAAGTAACCCCAGTTTTAACTAATGAACCCAATTATTTTATATATGTACTGTAAGCTAACGGAATAAAACTTTCTCTAGACAGGGGCTCAGTGACCAGAAACTCTCGCTCCGTGGTCAAACGGTGCCAAAGGCGCCTGATAGATGAATGCCCCTGGCCACACTGTAATTGCTCCTGTCCGAAGTGCCGGTGGGAAACCATGACGGAGGTCAACAACTTCTTCCTCAAGACCCTGGCCACTGTCATGGGCATTGACCCCGCTAAGATGGCCAGCAGCAAACTGTGTGGCTATTAATTAATTATGGCCATTAATTTAATCAGATTCTCACATTTTGGGTAGAACCAGTCAACCAATTTCAGGAGGCCAATACCTGGATGTGGGTCAAGGTGATGACCTTCATTTTAAATGTGGCAGAAACAATTTTCCTTGGAAATATTTTTTGGTCAAAGAAATCAATATTTCTTATCTGAAACGAGAAATTGTGTATATTGCTATTAGCAAACATTGAACTACAGCATCAAATCACCATGTCAGTTTCCTTCTTGTGGTGTTTTCTGTCGAGCAAAACTTGGAAAATTTGAACTGCGATTCAATGGCATTGTGAAACTTGATGATTATCACACTGTGAAACAATGAACAAAATGAATCAAGGATTTATGGTGAAATGGTGTTTATGAATTTAACATTTAGTGTTGTGCTGATGTTTTATCAACTCTAGAGCTTCTGTGTAAACAGTGACAATCACCAGTGAGGTTTGAGAGTTGTGGTGGTGAAAAATACTTTCTTGAAGAGGCACAGTACCCCAGTGGCAGAGTGATTGAACTAGTTGATATTATTTATTTTTGTATATTGAAACTCAAAACAAGATGAGCAACACTGTGGGCTGTAAACTAAAACAGGATTTTCCTCATTGAGAAATGATCCTGTGAAAATATTTGAAACAAGTGAAAATATGATTTAATGATGATCTTGAATATAAAGACAAGATGTAAATATTTTATTAACTATTAGTCATTCTCAGTTGATGTACAGTTTCAATTTTATTTTAATTTACAGACAAACATATTGTTAGCTTTAGTTTATTTCTCATAGTCTACTTGTAGTGGTGTGAGAAGGAGAAGCTTAAAATAAGGAATTTTTTCTAAAATGTTAGCTTATTCTTGTGATTTTAATAAAACTGTGTCGACAATCAAAGTTAAGTAGTTTGATAATTACAAGTTAAAATGTTTAATTTATTTTCATACAGTTTATATAAATAATATAATGATTTTTAGTAAACATTTTATTTTTTTTAACTGGCTTTAAGAATTGAATCTGAAATCACCTTTAAAGTGTATGTCACCTTTATGGGGAATCTGTTTCATATTATATCAAACACCTTTTGGTATTTATTGCTTGTCTCTCTTTCTCTCTCTCTATTCCTCTCTACATATAATTTTTTTTAATTTTTGTTTAAACGCTGAAAATGCTCTCAGAATTAATGAAAATATAAAATGTTTTTTCATTTTTTGGATTTAAAATATATTTTTTTTCTGATTTTTAAAGGGAAGCAACTTTTACTGAAGAAATTGTCTGATAAATGTTACAGTTACCTCCCATTCATTTAGTTGGGAGGGAAAAACGTAAATAATAGCCCAAAAAATATTCGGAAAAGTAAAAATGACCAAGAACATTTTAAATTATTGCTAAACTTCATTTGCACAAATCCTAGTTATCTTCAAAATTGAAAAATTACTTATTTATTAATCTATGTCGATGATTGTGTTTTTTTTTCAAGAAAATATTCTAAGTCCTTCTTAAATTTGTATTGCAGGTCTAGAAATCCCACCATTGTTAATTTAGTTCATAGAATTGTTTATTATGTGATGTAAATATCAGCCACTTGTTGAGTGACTAAACTGGCTGTAACTAGAATCTATTATATTAGAAGTTATACGAGCTCACTATAGTCATTTTCCAGAGAGAAAAAAAAACTGGTGAATTTTATTTAATTAAACAATAAGATTAAGTTATTTCTTTTTATTTTATTTATTCAGTTTTTTATTTATTTTTTTATTTTTTAAAATTTATTTGTCTTTTTTATTATTTTATTTTTTTTTAATTTTTTAATTTTCCTTTTTTTTTGTTACCTTGACAATTACGTCAACATAGGTCTACCTCATAAATTAAAATTATTCCACATTTTGTGTGTGTGAGAGATGACACAGTGTGTACATTTTCCTGGGTCGGTGTGTGTTGTGTTAGACATTAGAAAGTTTCCAGATCAAACATGTTTCGTTGTTTTTTCGTGTTTTTTCTATTGTTGTATATGGTACATGACCTGTTGTAAACATTGCAAGGATAGTGAAAATAAATTCAAAGAATAGCACCATAAAATAGATGACTAAAATAACATATATGTTTGTGTTAAGGGAGGTAATTGCTTTGGTTCAGTTTTATCATAGTTTAATATTTCTTGTTTTTAAATTGATACCTTCTCTAAAAGGTCGTCCGTAAATGACGCCACGCTCCTTTGTCATGAGGGGGGGGGGGGGAAATCTGGACTTTTGTGATGAAGGGTTGCATTTATGCAATATATATTTATTAAAGGCATACAGTTATTTTTCATTTTTAACATACTATTTGTGTTATTTTTTTAAAAATATATATATTTGATAGACAAAACTTAAATTAACCAGAATTTGCTCTAATTTTCTGAGCGCAACTGTAATTGTAATATTGTCGGCTAAATCAGTAATAATCAGCCTAGCTAGCTAATTATTTAGGTTTTTTTTTTTTTTTTTTTTTTGTTGCAAGGGGAACGAACTCTGTTAATACTTTCGGCAAAATTATTTTGATTTGGTTACTTCCCCTAGCATGATGGGACATTGGTAATGCGAAAGATGGAGGGGTTAGGGTGGTTGGGCTAAACTTGGCAAAGCAAACGTAAAGTCATTTACGGACGGCACCGTAAATATTTTACTCAATTAATAAAATGTAATTATTTTCAGCAAATAAATGTTAAACTCACATTGTTCGAACTTAATCTAAAGTAGCTAGGATTAGGTCCCGGTAAATTGTAGTTATGTTTTATAACAAAAATGTTTTCATCTGACATACTGTAGTCCCAATTTATGTTCAATTAAAATACTTACAGTTTCTGTGTGAGCTTTTTTTCTTTTTAATAGTGAAACTTGTATCTAAAATGTGATGATACAAAACATATTTGTTTCATGAATTTGTGGAGATCGGCTTCGCTGGCTACTCAAAAAACGCTTTTTGTAGGCCTACTTACAAGGTGCGATTGCTAAAACTAAAAGAAGCGTGTTTTAATTATTTTTATTTTGGTACTATGCTTCTGCATGCTTTTGGACCACTATATATACTACATGCTACAATTAATTGTAGTCGATCTAACTTAATTCTTATACCCAGTCCATACATTTAACATAGTAGCCTAGATTAAATCGAGAAAAATCATCTTTACACTAACTTGTGGCCTTTCTCAGATTTTATTGTCTACACTTCACATATAAAAAATGGAGGCTCATTTGAAGTTACAAACAGAAACGTTTCCTACATTTTAAGCTGTATTTGATAGTGTATATGTGTATGAGTGTAGGCCTATATTTATATACGTTTGTGTGTGTCTTTTATTCCGAAGAAGAAAAAAAGCGCTTCTACCCGCTTCACTACATCAGAGAACCACGATCATGGGGTTAAAACATTGTCGCCCCTGGGGAGAGGGAAGCGTTCAAAGGGTTAAAATACTGTCGTCCTTTATGGCCGAGCCCTCCCTTCCCTCCTCCTCGCCACCCCTCATTAGCTTTCACATCCTCCCTACCGTAGACCCGCGGGCGGGGATTTCCTGACACCCCCGTACCCTAGTCCGTCACACCTCATTGGCCAGACTTTGTGCTCCCGCGAGTAAACTGTTTTCATAATTTTACGCTTCATTGGCGCTACACGTCCCCGTCTAACGATACCATCTTTGTGGCAAATTTGGCGCCGAGAAAATTTGGAAGTGGGAGCTGACTTTGAACCCACGCAATTAACAACGGCAGTAGAGTTGACGCAGAGGCGTAGCGACCCTTCCCGGCGCCCGGGGACATACTTTCAATTTGGCGCCCCCTTGGGAGCAAATTTTCGATTTGCATCCCCCCTCGAACTTTTCATTTGCACCCCCCCCCCCCTCAAACTTTCGATTTGCACCCCCCCCTCGAACTTTTCATTTGCACCCCCCCCCCTCAAACTTTCAATTTGGCGCCCCCCCTAAGGTCGGCGCCCGGGGACATATGTCCCCCCCCGCCCCCCCCTCGCTACGCTACTGAGTTGACGTCTTTTTTGACGCAGTTAACACCGGCAGTAGAGTTGACGTCTTTTTGACGCAGTTAACACCGGCAGTAGAGTTGACGTCTTTTTTGACGCAGTTAACACCGGCAGTAGAGTTGACGTCTTTTTGACGCAGTTAATACCGGCAGTAGAGTTGACGTCTTTTTTGACGCAGTTAATACCGGCAGTAGAGTTGACGTCTTTTTGACGAAATTAACACCGGCAGTAGAGTTGACGTCTTTTTTGACGCAGTTAATACCGGCAGTAGAGTTGACGTCTTTTTTGACGCAGTTAATACCGGCAGTAGAGTTGACGTCTTTTTGACGAAATTAACACCGGCAGTAGAGTTGACGTCTTTTTTGACGCAGTTAATACCGGCAGTAGAGTTGACGTCTTTTTTGACGCAGTTAATACCGGCAGTAGAGTTGACGTCTTTTTGACGAAATTAACACCGGCAGTAGAGTTGACGTCTTTTTTATGCAGCAAACATCGGCAGTAGAGTTGACGTCTTTTTGAAGCAATTAACATCGGCAGTAGAGTTGACGTCTTTTTTGACGCAGTTAATACCGGCAGTAGAGTTGACGTCTTTTTGACGAAATTAACACCGGCAGTAGAGTTGACGTCTTTTTGACGAAATTAACACCGGCAGTAGAGTTGACGTCTTCTTGCAGTGGCAGCTCCAAGTATCTCTAGCACCAGAGCCAACACTAGCACCCTATATCTCTAGCACCAGAGCCAACACTAGCACCCTATATCTCTAGCACCAGAGCCAACGCTAGCACCCTATATCTCTAGCACCAGAGCCAACACTAGCACCCAATATCTCTAGCACCAGAGCCAACACTAGCACCCAATATCTCTAGCACCAGAGCCAACACTAGCACCCTATATCTGTAGCACCAGAGCCAACACTAGCACCCAATATCTCTAGCACCAGAGCCAACACTAGCACCCTATATCTCTAGCACCAGAGCCAACACTAG